GAAATAAATATATAATGATAATTATGAATTATATGAATGTACGCATCGCATTGACTTTTTCAGTCATGGTACAATGGACCTGAGATAGAGGGTACAGTATCCAGCCCACTTCCACTAACTTTCAATCTTGTATCTGTTCCTGCATGGTGTTGGAATAGGGGTAGTTGCTTTGCAGCACATTTTCAAAATTTAGAGGTATGAATTTAAACACCAACTTTACCCCTTGAGGGGGCGGAGGGATTGCCAGATGAGATTTGGGCATCCACAATTTATACTTTTAGACCACAATATTAGGGAATGGCAACCGCAACTTTATTGGATTTAAAGATTACCGTACTCGCGCGAATAAGCGCCCCGTTTGAATAATCCAATCAATCCTGGGACTGTGGATGTTGGCATGATTTGAGGTGTGGAGTGGAATCACATTCCCCTTTAGTCAATATCAAAATGAGGATATTAATCTTGGACAGATGAGAGCTCCCTGGACAGACAGTACATTTCCAACTTTAATATATATATTTTGTCTATAGCCTAGTCCTACTCTTTTTCCGACAATTTACACCTTTAACACATTCTCATTTGAGTTTTCAAGAAAACCTGCAATGATCATGCCGTCCTGCTAATCTCAATCGGCCGGTGGTCAACAAGCTAACTACCACTACTAATTTTATCTGCTATTCTGCTGTTATGTAATATTGTACTCATAACATTCTTGTCATGACAAGCCATGCTCTCTGGACGATTATCTTTTCCGCCGCACCACCATTCGTAATTTGCGGTTTCCTGATGTCCTTATATAATCGTTTTCCATTCAAAATGTGCCTCTTGGATTTAATAAGTTCTCATAAGAACCCCTCGATTTTCATCTATTTCCATAAGTGCCCCCTCAATTTCCACTCTGTTTTCATAAGCGCCCCGTTCGAATAAGTGACCCGTTTGAATAAGCGCCCCTCAAAAAGTGCAAAAATATTTTAAGCGCCCGGCGCTTATTCGCGCATGTACGGTAGTTTAGTCTCACGACCTTCTCGTGGCGTCGGACGAAAGATGGTGGAGGATGTCCAGGTTTGTAAAGGGGTGTGGTGCTCAACAAAATTAGCCATTACAGTGCGATGAAAAGCAACGGTAAATAGATTAAATCCAAACATTTTTATTGATATATACGACAGACTTTGTGTGGTTTGCTCGGAGGGACACAAAGAATCATAGAAGACGGAGACGGCTCTAGGATATATTTTCTGGGGGGGGGGGGGCTAAGTTGTCCGACAGGGGGGACTTGAGCTCGTAGGCTCGAGCTGGGGCTGAGAGAGGGTTCCCCTTCCAAATGAGATTTTCTTTAAGAATAGGAACCTCTGGATGGCCGGAAATGGCACTCTCAGACTGCTTTCTGAAAGTATTATGCTTACTTTGCCTATTATAAGACTAAAAATAGCATAGCGACCTAAATTAGACTCTACCAAATCAAAACTGCTAATTTTTCCACGGGCTTTATCCCTGCTGCACCCTGACCGGGGGATTTTTTCGGTTTGATTCCAGATTGAATTCACTTCACTTTAGTCTGCATTAGTTTCTTCATCACTCTCAAACATGCTAACACACATCAACATCATTACCGTTCATCATCATCGCCATCGACATCATCATCGTAATCATTATTGTCATCGTAGTCATTATCACCTTCATCATAACCGTCATTGTTATCATCATCCCCTCATCATAATTATGATCATCATTAATTCACATTTTTCTGGGCATCAAGGTAAACATGGTTTAAAGATGCATTGTCTCTTCAAAATGACAAAAAAAACATAAACACAATTTTTAAATTAACTTGTTCATTTTTGCATTAGCACTATATATTTTTAACTTGAGCAAAGAAATTATTGAATTTCAAAAATGTGTACCCTGATTATTAAACTGGATAATTATAATAAAAGTAATAAAACACTTCCATTGACTGGAAGTGTTTCTATAATTTTTCTTTGTAAAATGACGGGTAAACTTTTTTTAAATACACTAATGTTTATGTTCAAGTTGATAATTTTTATGTTACTTAGAGATGGGCAAGTTAATTTTAAAAATTATTCAGCGGCATTGTGCCCCCCTCCACTCACTAACTGGATCACCCTAATGTTAGTACTCTGTTATTTATTTATTACCAGGGTAGATCTCTCCATGGGTATACGTGCATGGTCTGTCTGCATGAATATACCGAAGGTTGACTAAAATTAATGTGTAATCGGTATAAGGCGTACCAGAAGTAAACACAGCACTTAACTTATTATTTTTTTTACAATTCTAGTGATAGTATATAACTTCTAGAGCGTGATCAATAATTATTAATGTTCCAGGCTGAACTTTGCAAGAAAATTTAATTAAAATTGTACGAGTAGTACGTTCATAACATGTAGGCTGCAGGTCCATTTGTGTGGCAAATATTATCCTGTGTTTTATATATTGCATATTGTGTATATTTCATAGCTGAATACCCTCCACATCGTGTAAATACAATTACAGTATGTATAGTCATATTTGGTTTATGCATTATATATGTATTCATGTTTCTTGCTCTTCTGGAGGAATAAGCAACTCAATTTATCTACTTATGGCAATGATAAGAAATTAAATTTTTAACAATATTATTTTCTACAGCTTTACCAGCTGTTATTTCATGGCATCCAGAGGTGCCATATTTCCAACATAGACTCTCATCCATGCTAACTTTATATATTGTGGCTGCCCGTTGAGGGGAAGAGAAAGCGGCTCTAGGCTGCCAGCATCTATTTCCGGACATTCATAGGCGCCACAAATTGTTACTAACCATGGTGGGGCTAGAGTTGATATGATAATTATGCTCTCAGACCTTAACTAACTTCAAAATCCTGTAGCTGTGGATAGAGATATCGGGTCTCCACTCTTCATTTACAACCGAATTTGTCAAGTGCTCATACTCCCCCACCCCCGCACCCCCTCACTATAATGGCCGGACCACTTGCAAAATCTTCCGACGGCTATGACGTCTCATAATGCACGAAGTGTATTTCAAAGCATCTAGAAAACAAAAACTTTTCGAAGGAGAAGCCGAAGACTCCCGCCACCCAATAAAATTAGTCTTCCAGCGACAAAACCAGCTAGCTCTCCTCATGACCCCAATAGCAATGGTAAATTCTGGATCCGCGCTTGGCATGTATTTAAGAGAAGTGCTTACAAAAGGTATATTTACAGTATATTTATATAGAAAATAATGTTGCATACTATAACTATCAGGAATAAATATACAGATAAATGCATGTTTTTTTTGTCTTGGCTTGGTACGGTAATTTAGTGAAGAAATGAATATATGTCCTAGGCTAGTGTATGGAACCTTTAGTCTGATTTTCTGCAAAAGCTCACTACTATATGTGTAGTAAATGACCTACTAGTACACTAACTTTCAACTGAAGAAAAAATGCATCCTAGTTTCTTAATCAGTCATAAATTTTACACTAAAGAGAAGAATATAATGTAAACTATCATTAACGGTTCCTGAGTTATGTCAAAGAGAGGGTAGGTTGAGTCTAAACATGGAGGTATAAATACCTCCATGGTCTAAACATACAGGTTGAATTTAGCCCGGTTTACTATTCAAAACTTGTGGTCTGTCAAAAAGTTGTTAGATTGAAACTGACCAACCGTACCGGTGGCTATACGGCCCTGACAAAATAACATGCCTATCCAAAACAAGTCTATGTTTTATTAGGCCTATTGAAAAAAAAAAATGTAAACTTTTCACAAAATTCGGCCAAATATAGTTTGGCCGTGACTTTTCAAACGTTGGCGGCCAGGCAATTTTTTATACGGCCAGATTTGAGGAATCTGGCCGTCAAAAAGGCCAACCCTGGTTCCTATAATAAGCAACCCCAAACCCAACATAACGGTATTTCACATTATAATTATAGCATTAATCATCTATAACTGCTAACTTCCTACCCTATCGTGTTGTTTTGTTTTGGTGACAACATGGCCGGTGTAAGTCACGTGATTGTAACCGAGTTGGCCAAACTCTCTCTATCTACGGCTCTGGTTGAGTTCTGGTTCAGGGTTGCCAGATAATCGACAGGCTTCACGGCCAAACACACGCCATCTCACGGCCAAATTCGGCCAAACTTTTTTTCGATATCGGCCAAAATTCGGCCAGGTTTTAATCCGATTAGAAGACAACAGTGGGTACATTCATTTGAAATACTACAAAATTATACGAAAATCAGCGCTCCTTCGTTTGAAATTGAAGAAATTCAAATGATATACACAGAAC